GCGTCCAGGAGCCACCCCTGGCCGGTGCTGCTCGGGACGGCCCAGCTGGAGGGCGTTTCCCCGCCCGGAATGCTATGTTGCACCGGGCAGCCCGAGGAACGTAAGTGGCATTTTTTCTGCGACTGCAGCTGGGTCTTCCCAGGCTGCTTGAGCCCCAGGCTAAGAATCATGGACCCAGGTCCCTGGCATTACGAGGTTGGGGAAGCCGGAGCCCGGGCACTGCCAGGGCCCACTTCAGGGGAGAAGTGGCTTCCTTTGCTGGCTTGTGTTTGTGCCTGGGACCACACTTGGCCTCCCTGTGCGCTGTCAGGCTTTCCCGCCCTGTTACTAAGGCGGGTGATAAGGTGATTTTTAATTGAATGCCAGGGTTTCCAGGCCTGTCGAGAGACATGGGACCAGGCAGAGTGGAGGGGAACTCGATGTGTCTCCAGTTTGCCCTGAAGCCTGTGCTCTTTCTGCCCCGCCCCCCATCTCCCGCTCAACAGGCGCGCCCTTTGGGGAGCAGGGTCACTGAGAAGTGCGTGTCACGCCCTCCTTGCTTGCCTCCAACTCCCTGAGTGTTGAGCATCACGAGGTTGCACAACCACGGAGAGGTTTCAGGAGTACAGATGAGAGCCGTCCTGCTCCGTGATTCCATCATGGGGTCAACACCTTTTCCAGGAACTGGAGCCCACCCCAAGGCAGGGCCAGGGGACAGTGGAGTCAGGCCTTTTTCTCTGTGACCTGTCGCCTTCAGTCACATGCTTTCTCTGGGGGGTGAACTGAGTCCTCTCCATGTACAGCGGGCAGTGATGCTGTCATGTCCTGTCCCCAGATTCCCCAGGCCCCTCCGGGAGGGCTGAGGACACAGAGGCCCAGCGGGAGCAGCTCTACCAGCAGAGCCGGGTCTACGTGGCCATGAACCAGAGACTGCGTCAGGCGGGCACCCGGCTGAAGCAGAAGTGTGAGGAGCTGCAGCGAGCTGGCCAGAAGCTGGAGCACGACGTTTGCCAGGTCGGGCAGGTGGCTCTGCCAGGCACTGTGGCCACCTCCTCAGGCTGACCTGGCCCCCAGGCTCGCCAGAACCTTGGGTCCTCCCCTGAACACCTGACCAGCACACCTCAGACATGAGCCCTGGGTCCCAGAAGCAGGTTCTGCATTTCCCTTCTCCTGTGGCCTAGGCACGGGCCTAGGCCCCAGGGGACACAGCTTGCCCAGGGTGTGTGGCTGCGGCAGGGGCAGTGGGCTTCAGCTGGTCGGGCCCCTCTCTGAGGGTGGGTCTGGGGCGCACACATGTCCTTCACCCCGGAGCTTCTCTCCTGGGGCCCAATAGCCGTGGAGCCTGGACTGGACTTCCTGTGGGCCCAGTACCCGAGGGCCAGTCCAGCCTTCCTCCCCTCCTTCCCCTCGGGCACCCTGCTTCACTGATCACCCATTCAGCTGAGCTGGCAGAACCCACCCCTCTGGTTCTGGTATATGAACTGGAGGCCCCCAGAGATTCCAGGAGAGGATGGGGGAGTTCAGTCTCCTGCCCCGCCCATGGTGGCCCTGGTTATGAGGAGCAATGGCCCTGCGGGGCCCAGATCTGAGATGGGCCCTAGGGACGGGGGAGCACTCTTCGGGGCCCCGGGCACCCCATCTAAGGCGTGGGCACTCCCTCAGGGCAGACACTTGTCTGTCCGTCAGCTGCAGGATTCTGTCTTAATGGGGCGCGAGGCCTGGGCTCCCATGAGAGGATGGGATGGTCAGTTGCTTGCCCGGAGCCCTCACCTCACTGCCCCCACTCCTTGCACACTCCACCTGTGGGCAGGTGGGCGGTGGGGCAGGAAAGAATCTTGAAAAGGGCTTTCACCCTAAAACAGATCCCATGAAGACCAGAGAAGCAGTGGATCTGCGGGAGGTGGCCCCGGGGCCAGGCCTATGGTGGACAACCCCACTGAGCCCCTCAGGTGAAATCCCCATGTCTGGTCACCTGAATGGTGCCTCTGTGAGCCACTCCTTTCTCGGGTTCCTTGGAAGCTTGGGGCAGCACTGGGCCCCACCACGGCAGAGCCCTCAGGTGGGAGATGCTACACGCCCCAGGAGGTGTTGCTCTTTCCCTAAAGAAAGGGTGCCTGCTTAACCCTGAGAGACTCCCCAGAAAAGGAAACATGACCTGGGGTGCACAGGTGTTCACACAGGGCAGGACTGGCTCTGGTTGCAGCTGCAGGTGCTAGGCCGCCTCGTCCAGAGTCAGTTTGCTATCAGCTGGCCCTTGGTTGGGGTGCATCACCCCTCCCTGCCCGGCCCCATCTCCGGGTGAGGACTCCTGTCTTTGGGACACTGTTTACTCTCTGGAGCCCCTCAGGGTCAGGTCACTCCACTGACCTCCTCCCCAGTCCCGTCCCCCGTGCCTGGCATGGGCGCTCTCCCTAAACCCCGGCCCGGCACTGAGCTCTGGGTTCTGCCCTCCCATCCTCGCGCTTCTGGGGAGCAGGGTTCTGCAGGCAGCATTGGACCTGGGGCAGGTTTGGCCAGGTGGAAAGGCCTGTGAAGTTCCCCTCCTGACCCTCGTCCCAGCCATGCCATCTCAGGGCAGCGCCATGGGCAGTGTGGAGTGCGATCTGACAGCTGTTTATTAAAGGTGCACGTGAGACGCCTGGTTCCACAGCCTCCAACCAGATGATGGCTTTACAGTTGGTGGGGGGACAGGCGGGGCTGTATGTACAGGGAGCTGAGTGTGTACACTGAGGAGGCCCAGGACTGAATGGAGACGCGGGTGCAGGAGATGAACCACGGCAGCTCGGCTCGGGCTGCAGCCAGCTGGGCGGTGTGGGTGAGGTAATGCTGAGAATTCAGCACCCAGCTCGGGGTGTCCATCTGCCCCTGGGCTGAGGTCCCCAGCTTGGGTGCCCCATGCCCCCTTGACAGGTGGCCAGGTGGCCAAGCAGCGTCCTGAGGGGTCAGGGCTTCACGGGCAGCATTTGGATCCTCAGTCCCCCAGCTCTGGCCTCAGGTCAATTGTTCAGTGACTGCCAGAGCTGTCTTCTCCAGGAACCTGCTCTGCCCAGGCCCCTGGGCCCCCACTGCCGTGGGTGGAGAAGGCAGAAGTGGCTGCTGGACGAGGATGAGCGGGCCCTGCCTGTGGAGAGAATGCCCAGGGCCGGACAGAGGGCAGGCAGCCGGGGAGGGTCCTCTGTCACCAGTCACGCCACGGCTCTGCTTGCCCGAGAGGTAGCTCTGGGAGGTCTCCCCACGGCCCACGCAGGGAGACAGGCACACAGCGGCGAGAGCACCGCTCTGGGTCTCACGGTGTGGGGCTTGCCCCACCCCACCCCCACCGCCGGGTCAGCTGGGGTGGGGACCCATTTCAATGGGGAGGCTGGCTGTAGCCCCCAAGTCTGGGAAGCCTGGAAGACCACCTGGCCCTGCCGTGACGCTGCTGATGGGGACAGGAACCGCAGTTTCTGAGTTTGGCCTGGAGCCCCCAGGTCCAGTGCCCTCTGCTGCCTGCCGGCTCCCCGGGGAGACTCCCCAGAGGCCCCCACTGTGGGTGCCGTCAAAGAAGGAGCATTTGGTGCAGTCTGCAGCCCTTCTGGTCGTGTGTCCTGTTCTGGTCCCTCAGGCAGAGCCCTGGAGTCTGTCCTGCAGGACGGGGTGTTGCAGGAGGGGACACAGCGTGGTCCATGTGCGCTCTAAGCGGCAGCAGCAGCATAGTGTCCGAGGGACGGGACAGTGGTGCCCGTAGGTGGAGACGGCTCCTTCGGCGCCTCTTGACTCAACCCCATGTCCTCTCCTCCCAGAGAAAGGACGTTGGCCCCCAGCCCCCAGGAGCAGCTCTGCGGGGCAGCTGTGATGGCAGACCCGTGGGCCCAGAGCAGCTCTGGCGCAGAGCCAGGCTCTGCAGGGAAGAGGTCGTCAGCTCTTCCTACACAAGGTGTGCTTGGGTGGAGAAGGACCACACACCTGCCTTGGGGTGCGGCCTCTCCTGGCCTCCAGGCCTGCTGTCCACCTCCCTGCCTTGTCTGGTACCAGCTCTCTCACATCTGTCGGCTGTGGTTCCGGGGCTCCAGGTCCCACAGTCCGGAGGCTGGGCGCAGGCTCCACCTTGGATCCCACAGTCACGCTATCCCACAGGGAGGAGCCCCAGACCCAGGGCTCCTCACCTTGGAAAGGAGAGTAAGATTGAAAAAGGAAAGACCAGTGGCTGGGCAGCTGTCTGCCGGGACCTCCTCTCCTGGGCTGCAGTCCTGCCGGGGTCACAGCTGCCTCTCCTTGGCCCCTCCCGTTGGTACCTTGCCCACCAGGGCATCTTGACCTTGCCTGCCCAGGTCAGCCAGAGCCCACCCATCGTCCACACACCCCCTTCCGCTTGTTCCTTACCAGTTGCAGGGGTGCCCTGGGTCGCGACCGCACCCCACCCCCACCCTCAGTCTCCAGGCTCCCTACTTGTCTCTGTCTGGGGCAGGGGCTGCCTTTCTATTGGGCTCAGCTGCACCCCCTCCACACCCCCAGCTGGGGCTGAGAAGGCAGACAAACCAGCTGAGCCATTATTAACAAATTACCCGGTCCTGCCTGTAATTACAGGCTTCCTCCTGTGCCTGCATTGCCGCAGCCCCCAGCTGGCAGGCTCCTGCTGGTGCCACCCTCCCCAGCCCTGTCCCCCACCTCGGCGGGCACCGTTACCTCCTTGCAGCTCCTGAGGTGGAGGAGGGGAGTGTCATGCTGATCCTGGGCCCAGCAGGGCTGGGAGCCCTGGAGGGCACTGCTGAGGACAGCCCCTGCTAGAAGGGTGGTCCACCGTGGGACCACCTCTAGCAGGGACTTGAGGTCCAGCCTGCCGCTCATTTTCCTTCCGTAGTGCCCACCCCTCTCCCCGGCACAGAAGCAAGCGTCTACGTGTGAGTTGTGAGGCCCATGTGGGCAGGGGTGAGGCTCAGAGGGCGGGCAACTGGCTGGGCAGGCAGGCCCTGGGACCACCCTCGGGGCCGCCAGACCGCTTTGGGCCGGGAGAGGATGTTCTGGAAAGCCAGCTCTGGCCACTATTCCAGGAGGCTGGTGGGGATGGGGACAGGGGCTTTCTCCACGGCAGAGTCAGCGGTGGCTGCCACCATGGGGCTGGGCACGTAATTGAAGGGGGGAACCCGGGCTGAGCGGCTGGGGGAGCCATGCCGGCTGGTAGGAAAGCCCCCTGCGGCCACCCCTAGCCCCTCGTGGACAAAGGGGGTAGGGGTGGGCGCCTTGGCAGGGCTGGGCCCATCCACGTCGCTGCCAAGGAGGGAGGTGGGGCCGCCGGCTATGGTCTGGGGAGGCTCCCTGCTCTCCAGGCTTGGAGACGTGCTGGAGTTGGTCTTGGTGGCAGCGAAGTCCTCTGTCTGGACCACAGCGTCACTGGTCTTGCGCTGCGGTGGGCCAGCCGGGCCCTCCTCGGGTGAGGAGCCCATCAGGGGCAGGGCGGTGGCAGGCAGCGTGCTCCGCAGGATGTGCGGGACATCTTCGTCCCGGATGCGACGCCACGTGGTACCCGGCGCAGCCACCCTGGGCAGTGGCCGGGCCTCCCCGTCACTGCTGCGGCGGGCCGGGTCAGCCGCGGGCCTGGGGGCGGCGCTGTTGGGCCTGGGGGCCATGCTGATG